CGCAATCGTCGTCTTGTTCGTCCCCCACGTGATCATTATTCTCGCTGAGATGCACTTGCCAAAATGTACGAGCCGGCCGCGCGAAAGTATGCCGCGCACGGGGAAGGTTGAAAACCACTGCGCCAGTATTTATCGAGTGAGTCGTTCCGTTCGCGGCTGTACGAGCGACCGCTTTCTTTTTCACCGAACACACGAGCTACCTCTCGGCTCCTCGAGTGTGAACTTTCTGTTAGCCAGTCGCGGCACGTTCGGATACGCGTATTAGAAATCTCACGGTGGAGAGGCATCGCGTCATCATCGTCGCTGTCGTCGTCGTCGTCGTCGTCGTCGTCGTCGTCGTCGTCGTCGTCGTCGTCGTCGTCGGCCGAATCGTCCGACTTTCGCGGTCTCCGCGCGGCGGCGACGATCTCGCGCGCGCGATTCTCGTGAAGGGTGACAGGGTTGCCCGAAGAGGAGGTGCCCTCGTGAGCAGGCCACGTGAGGCGAGCGAAGGTGATAATGCGTTCGTTCGTCGACCAATACAAGCAGCAGATAAGATTTATCGTTCAAGATTTATCATTCAACTCGCAAGTGGATCCTCGCTCGCGGCTTCGAGCGACCTACTTGGCTGAATTATTAAGCCCATCTGAGCAAGGGACTAGAGAGAGGCTTCCGAATTGGAAGAACGGCGAACGTGCAAAAAGATGCCTCGATTGACTCTGCAAATCTGTAGCTTACTGAATAAAATTTAACGTTATAACCGAGTAAATTTGCGAGTGCAGCGAAGATATTAAATTCAGAAGCAATTGTCAACTCGCTCATACTGCGCGAACCTATTTTGATTGATGTTATCTTACAAGGGGTACAATATATGTTATCTTACAAGGGCCAATTCGGTTTGTACAACAAGTTAGTGAAAATTCTTGAGATCAAAAATTGACAATATTATGAGTAAATTAAAGAAAAAAGCAAGACCGTATAAGGTCATAGATTCTAAAAAATTTGGAATTGAATTTTCGAGAACATGTGTGGGGTTTGCCACATATTTCTGTCATTTATTTTTAATTATTTATAGGTATAAAATATATATTTTTCAATTGCAATTAGATGACTATTTATGTCCGACTCAGTAAATCTCATATTTGAAAAAAAAAACACGAAAAAATGAAAACATAAAATAAAGAAATTTGACGTTTGAGTTTGTCCGTATTTCGGCATGTTACATTTCCAAGGGATTTCAGAACATTTCGCAAAAGTTGGGTTTCGAAACACTCGCTATAAAATGTCAGAATTACATTTGTTCTGACAGCGTTATACTTCGTTCCTTAAATCTCGTTACTTGCTTTTTTTCCACAACTTTTGCACGTTCGCAATGTTTCTTCTTGTGACGTAGCCGTTATTACGCTTTACATTCCTGCCCGCTAGATAACTATTATGTAACTTTCTATCTCTCCATCTCGCTCTTTTTTCCGATTATGCTACGTAAGAATCAGACGTCAAATTCCGTGTGAAATTTCAGGATATCGAGCCGCGCGCGTTTACTCGACGCCGCGATTATCGCGAATGGTACTTTGAAGCAATTCATATTGCTGTCGAGAGTATATTGTTAATATGCAATGCGGAATATCGCCAGCAGAAAACCCGATTGCACGCGCGGTGCATCGCGCGGTGCTGAGGCGCGAGAGAGCAGCCAATCGGCCGCTCGCGGGCCGTTTACCGGGAAGAAATAATCAGTCGGATACACAATGTACGTACGTTGCACGTAACCTTGCACTTGTAACAATGTTGCGCATCTCGCGCGCGCGGGCGTCTCTGCACGGTTCTTCTTCCGCGCCGCCAAGTCGTATCGCTCTCGCGGGACGCGCGTTCGTATCTATCTACGATATACTTTATCGCGGTATCTCCCCATCTCGCTAATATCACACACGCCATTGAATCGCCCGCTTTTCCGTCACTGCGTTTTAGGAGAAATACGATATGCGGGACGCACTCAGAGGAAAAGAGACACGGCGGTGACAACTGTATGTAAGTGACACAACTATACACAGGCAGAAAAAAGGAAATAAAGAATATTTACTCGACGTAGGTACCACACGTATATACACACGTACATATAACGTACTTATATAAAATATATCTTAAATAAAGAAATGTATATTGTGTTAACTCTTTAAAATTCTAAACACTTTAGAAAGTTAGCGCAAATATGAATTTTATCCGGTATATTTTTATTTGCACAATTCCCGGAAAAATGATTTAAATTTAATGCTTCGTTTTTTAATCGGTGAAGGAAATATCGAGGAATATGAATTTTTTTTCCAAATGCTTTTGCGACTCAATGAAATTAAAAAGTCTAATCTACGACGTATCTTTCTTTGCTTCCTGTTTCTTGTTCTCTCTTTTTTAGTTTAAGGCTTAAGATTTGAGTCAGAGAGATAAAGAAAAAGAAACAGGAAGCAAATAATACATTGTAGATCAAGCTTTATAATGAAAAAGCAAAACACATGTTTTAAGAATAATAACATTTAAATAGTTGGTCTGTTTTACTCATGTTTAAGATTCTAAACAGTTCTTTATAAGGACTCTTTTTGTAAAAACTTATCTAGAAGAACTACGTAGATAATATAATTATTTGAAAAGAATTACCTAAATAGAAGAATTAATTCTTCTATTTGATTATAATGCAATTTGGTTACAATACTATTTGGTTAACTACAATTCCTCACTTAACTGTATACATTAATCTTGTCTATGTAACTCGTATATAATTGTTTAATATAAACTAATACAGTTTTACATGTATGTCACTATATAGTCGTCACCACCCATATCCCTCTTCCCCTGAGCGTGGACACCATTTCTCGTTTCATTTCATTCATTTCTAATTTCGATCACGTTTGCCCGCGGTGGTCGCGAAGAACAACGACGCAATTTCGCAGTGGCCGAAAAAGAATTACATCCGTCTATTTAAATTTTCTTATCTGCTAGAGACGATAACATTAGTTTGTCTCGAAGGTCACTACCTTCACGTCCGTAGCGATAAACAATATCACTCCTCGCCACGTTTAAACGTGAGGCACGCGTGTGGGCGACGTGTGTCAACATTTGTTCTTTTCTCTCCATATTTTTTTTTCTTTCATCATATTTTCGTTCGATGAAACCTAAGACTTCGGGATCTCCCGTGAATCGTTTCCTCGTCGTAACTTTATGCTCGACGAGCGGCGCGCAAACACATACACGAATACGTGCGGAGAATCTATTCAAGAAAATGTTCCAGAAATTTATTTTTTTTTCGACGACACGCCCGGCTCGTGTTCCTTCTGCCCCGAGACGCGACCATTCGGCAGAAGAGAGGCGGAAACTTCGCGCGATGTAGTATGTAGATTATGACAGTTCAAGAGGGGAGATCTTTGCAAATGAAAGAGATCTTCCCACGCACGCGACGTATTTTTTTTTCTCTTTTTTTCGTGAGTACGGATATATTTCGACGCGACTGTGACACACTTAGCTTCGCGATATCGATAGTATCTCGTGCGCGAGAATAAGAGAGCCATGGAGAATAAGAACCAAACCCGGGGGCGACTCGGTGTCGCGCCGCAATGAGTGTGGCGCGACATCACAACGCGCGTGTATTTCCACACGGGAAGAAATTTCAGAGATAAGTAGGCTGGAGCGCGCGCCGCCGGCTACGTGTAGCGTGTCTCGCTCTGAGACCCGGAATAACATTTCCCGTGTCTCTCTCTCTCTTGCGCGCGCGGTGTGTGCCCGATATATGCGATTCAGCGAAACGACCAATGTCCGGAAGTATGACTTCAGTTGATTCTCTAACTCCGTAACGACAATGTCGCGCTGTGTCGCTGCGCAGCTTTTCATATTGTCACACTTGCGCAACAACACGACGATCACGACTCTGCCGTTCAAAGTTACAGAATCGACGTGTCGTCGCGCTTGGGGGAAAGAAAGACTCGCAAGCAACACGCCTCGTCGCGATCCCCGCCGTACGATCGAATTTGAGATTGCGCTGGGGCCGGGGAACACGTTTGGCGGATAAAAAGAAATGTGTAGTGTGTGCATTCGCGAGATAAACGAGCGCGATCCGACTGGTCCCGAGATGCGACGCGGCGCGGCGCTATCGCGCGCTGATGCCTCTCGGCGATTTGCTTCTTTTCGGGCAAATTCGAGCGGCCGCAGCGTCGGGATGGAGTCACGTCGGTTGCACGGGGTCAGGTCTAACGGCATCCCGTGTCTCCGTTCTCGTCGCGTGCACGTCGCGAAATTACAAAAGCACTAGGAGCGTTCTCCTGCCGGAGTCATATTCATATTCGCGCAGTTCGGCTCTCGCAACGCGCAACCGCGAGAGACTCGGGGGGCAGCGCGTGCGGTGGACGTGCCTACCTTTTCGAGACGAAAACGACGTTGCGGTAGTGGAGGCGAGGAGGTCGCGCCTCGTCGACAGGACTCGACGAGGGGGGCGAGCGACTTCCGCGTTGCCGGGAAGCGCCGTGCTCTCGGGCAAGTTTCACGGCACGAGAATCCCTCGCGAGAATACACCTTCTTCCTTCTCTTCGTGATCGTGATGATGATGATGATGATGATGATGATGATCGTCGTTGTCGTCGTCGTTGTCGTCGTCGTGCACGCGGTTGCACGAGGAACGGGAACGGCGGAGGTTGGCGGCGTTTGACGCGCGGGCGCGCTAACGAAACGCGTGCCACGCTGGAATTTCGAGACACGGCCAGAAGACGAAGAAATCGTGCGAAACGGAGCGGCGTAGATAGCGTCGACGTGTCGCGTCGTTGGCGCGTCCTTGGCCGCGGCGCGTCGCGTCGCGTCGCGTCGTGGTGTATCGTGACGCCTTCCACCAGCTTCCGCGGCAGACTGACCGGTTTCGCCGGGCCGCGTGATGATTGGACGCCTGCGCGCGCGCGCGAGCGAGTGAGTGAGGGAGCGAGCAAGCGAGCGAGCGGCGCGCGCTGACGCGGTGCGCGCTCGCCCCGTCAGATGGAGCCACCTACCTGTTTCCCTCAGTCGAGTCGGACGCGTGGAGCAAGACGGAGCAGTAGCGAGACGCGCGAGACTGACAGAGAGAGACAGAGGAGGCTCACGCCTGTATATACGACTTGTGCGTGCTGTCAAAATACAGTGCAGTGAGGCTGCTTGGAGTTTCTGGTATGCGCGACTCTCTACTGTCTCTCGCGGGTGTCGAGTGCGAATGATCTGACTCACGAACGAGCTTCCAGTGGATGATAACGCGAAATCACGCGCGGTGATTCATCCGCGCGTTCGAGGGTTCGAAGGTTCACCAGAGAGAGAGGTTCGCACACTCCTCGGCCGTCTTGCCATGGCGAACGCGCGGTGACGCTTCCGAATCACAACGAGCCGCAGAGCGGGGATTCGTTCTTTCACGCGCAAACAAAATCTCAGCCGGCCGCTTTGGACCGTGTTTTGGCGTGAGCGCCAAGTGGAACCGACATTTCATCGAAATGGAGCCAATGGGACAGAATCAGCCGCCGAACGTCTTGAACAACATTGCCGACGGCTCCGACACCAAGGGCAGGTGAGTCTCGCCGAGAGCCTCTTTCTTTTCGGGCGTGAGAGAGTAATATACACGTTAAATCGGCTAATAACGCCTCGACGCAGAGAGCTTATCAGTTGAATTTGCATAGCTACGCGTGGAGTACATGTTGGTCATCGTACAATTTGTCTTTTATTGTTACAGCTGCCTACTACTTCGTTATGCTAGTCAAAATTCTTTAGACGAGAGCTCGCAGAAGCATGTGCCCCGCGAGAATGGTAAGGACAAACCACCCTATAGGAATCATCATCACACAAATCGAGCCTTTGATGTCATCAACGAGATGAGAAAGTGAGTCTATGTTTATATGTCAAGTATAACAGCATCCAGTGTTGTAATGTATCTGGATATATTTATTCAATTACAGTAGATACATTTATCTAATTACAATACCTAAATATAAATTTTTGTATATCTATCTGTAACTAGTTAGATTTTTTATTTCAATAACTGTATCTGTAACTAGTTTCATTGTATCTGTATCTAAGTTTAACATTTTAGATGCAGATATAAGATAAAATAAAATTAGTTACAGATACAGTTACCGAAATGAAAAATCTAACTAGTTATAGATAAAGATACACAAAAAATATTTAGATATTGTAATTAGATACATGTATTTACTGTAATTAGATAAATATATCTAATTAATAATCTAGATAAGTTACAACACTGACAGGATCACTTTATCCTTATGAAGATCCAATAAATACCAACTGAGAGCAACACTAAATCGATATTATAATTACCCACTCAACAATGCAAGTACAATATAACATATGTTGTGTGTAACAGTTGCACCGCTGAGTGAAGAATTATAACACTGATGTAACGATACTGTTAGTTGGTGTCTACTGGAGATAGTATGTTTATAAGAGTGAACTTTATTCATATGTATCATGTATCAATACAAAATATATATCTATGTGTATTAGACAATTATAAATATACTCCTTGCATTAAACCAAGAAGAATCTGTCGCGTTGATGAAAAAAAAATTGTGAATTATTAAAAAATATAAAAAAATTGGGGAAAGTGAGATTCTAACTAACGTTATTATTCTTTTAGAAAAAATCTACTGTGCGACGTTATTCTGGTGACAGACAGTGGCTTGGAAGTGCCAGCTCACAAAATGGTCTTGGCTGCATGCAGCCCCTATTTCTACGCAATGTTCACGAGTTTTGAGGAACGCGATCAGGAGAGAATAACGCTGCAGGGCGTGGACTATTCCGCATTGGAATTACTAGTGGATTACGTCTACACGGCCGAAGTCCACGTCACGGAGGACAATGTACAAGTGCTTCTTCCTGCCGCGAATTTACTGCAACTAACAGACGTCCGCGACGCTTGTTGCGATTTTCTACAAGCTCAGTTGCATCCGTCCAATTGTCTCGGCATCAGAGCGTTCGCAGATCTGCACGGATGTCTCGAGTTGTTGGCGCACGCGGACAGCTACATTGAGCAACATTTTTCGTAAGTCGCGCGTCACGTATTAGCCGGTCTCGTGGGGATTGCATTAACGATTTTAATCGTCCGTGTAATACGGATTACAGAGAAGTGGTCGACGCGGAGGAATTTTTAACACTGGCGCCTCAGCAGGTGGCTAAGCTCATTTGTAGCGATCGCCTAATGGTACCTACCGAGGAGAAAGTATTCGAATGCGTTATCTCATGGGTACATCACGATCTCGAAAAGAGGCAAAATGACTTGGCTCTGTTAATGGAGCACGTACGTTTACCTTTGCTTTCTCAAGAATACCTAGTGCAACGTGTGGAGGAAGAACCACTTCTCAAAGCTAATTTACAATGTAAGTTTGCTATTGACAATATTGTTAAGCAAAGATGTCTTGGAACTGTTTACATATAAAAGAAAAATAACAATTATATATATGTGCAAACAGGCTCTGTGAATGCACAACTAGAATGAGGGAATTAAGAGTCATGTTTGACAGTGGTAAACATTATTATCCTCTCACAGTATAAATTTAATTTCGCACTAACATACGCGAATGACTCCTATATATAAAGACTCTTAGATATACAATAGGATCCAATGAGAACTTAGTACGCAAATGTACGTGTATAAATAAGACAGAGAGTGATATTTCTGGAATATAAACACCCGAAAAGTAAATGTTTCGATTCCGTTCGGACCTTCTTCAGTTTCGTTCGGATTCCTCTATTTTTACGTAATGTTCATTTTGTTATTCTTAGTATTAGATAATATTATGAAATCGAAACGCGCATATAAAATAAAAACAGCCACAAGTTAATAAATTAAAATAAATTAAATGTTTTATAGAATGTTGTAGAAGTAGAAAATAAAAAAGATCACTTTTTTATACACTCGTAATCTGTGTATCAGACTTTTATCGGCCTATATTAATAGTGTGTACATGTAATTTTCTTTTTGCAGGCAAAGACTTTTTGATCGAAGCCTTAAAGTATCATTTATTGAAGGGTGAGCAGAAATCTCTATTTAAAACCCCACGTACAAAGCCGAGACAACCGAGAGGATTGCCTAAAGTGTTGCTTGTTGTCGGTGGTCAAGCCCCGAAGGCAATTAGAAGCGTCGAATGTTACGATTTCAAAGAGGAAAAATGGTATCAAGTTTCCGAGTTACCAACGCGACGTTGCAGAGCTGGTATGTGTAATAGCGATCCAGTTTGCGTTATTTGAGCGATTGTTTTCTCTGCTTTTCTGCAAAATGTCACGTACGCGATTATATTGTCGTAGGACTCTGCGTTCTCGGCGGACGCGTGTATGCTGTTGGTGGATTTAACGGATCATTAAGAGTAAGAACGGTCGATATCTATGACGCAGCGGCGGACCAGTGGTCACCCTGTCCGGAGATGGAAGCAAGGAGGTCTACTCTTGGTGTGGCGGTGCTTGGGAATTTAGTTTATGCTGTACGTTACTACCATTTCTTCTCCTTGTCAGATGGATGTGCATTTACAATTTATAAGAATCAACTCGTTACAACATCAATTTGTTGGTATTTGATGCTGCAACGAATTGATTTAATTAAATTATAAACGCGCAAACTGCGGTGAGCTCTCATATGCCAGGTGGTGTAATCAATTGTTTACTTCTTGGAAGTATAATTTTTCGTTAATTCAATAAAGTCGATCAAAGTCAGAGAACATGGATACAAAAGCGCACAGATTATATTCTTTTGGTTGAATTTACGATTTTACATCGAAGAACCTTTTTCATTTTCTATATTCGTATTTCAGATTTGAAAATATTTTTAATTAAATATATCATCGTTGTTTGATTCACGTTAATATAGGTCGGCGGCTTCGATGGTTCTACAGGATTAAATTCGGCCGAAGTATACGATCCACGGACTCGCGAATGGAGACCTATAGCGCGAATGTCAACGCGACGTAGCAGCGTAGGAGTCGGTGTTGTCAAGGGATTGCTCTATGCCGTGAGTGCATTGTTCTATTTTTAGTCCTAAAACAGTCTTTCCCATTGTTCGTTTAATACAGAGAGATGTCGCGATTAGGTTGGCGGTTACGATGGAGAATCCCGTCAGTGTCTCTCCAGTGTCGAGTGTTATAATCCCGAGAAGGATAAATGGAAACCCGTGCCTGAGATGTCCGCGCGTCGTAGCGGCGCGGGCGTTGGCGTATTGGATGGAATTCTATACGCGGTAGGAGGCCACGACGGTCCGCTAGTTCGAAAAAGCGTGGAAGCATTTAATCCGGACACGAATCAGTGGTCACCCGTCAGCGATATGGCGCTTTGTCGTCGAAACGCCGGTAAACATCTAATATCTTTTGGTATTCGGTTGGTGCAAAAGATTCGTCATTTCTTTACTAAATTCTCGTCGAAAGTTTGGATATCAGAAGGAAAATAGGATGTTCTTATTAGATGCCTATAAAATATCAAGTCGATGCTTTTTAATCATAAAAATTACTAATACTTCGAAATATTGGGATAATTTTCTATTTTACTTAACAAACACGTCAAACCTTTTACCTCAACCTGATACAAAGTGAAACATTCAATGTTGGATTTCAAAATATCTCTTGTTTTTTATATAAAAAGAAAATTTGTAAAGATATAAATTGGCGGTTGGAAGAGTTAACTGACCACAAAATTTATTCCTTTCAACTACACCATTTATTTCTTACACATTTTTCTCTTATATTAAAAACAACAGAGATATCTACCAATCTAACATTAGATGACTCACACTGTATATTAGTTCTTTTTCTTCATGTTCATGTTACGTTATGTCATGTCATATTAATTTCTCGAATATTGTATAAATATTATTATAATCATCAGAAATCATTAATTTTACTTGAAACCGATATAAATGTTACAACCGACAGGTGTGGTAGCGTTAAATGGACTTTTGTACGTGGTGGGCGGAGACGACGGTTCGTCCAGCTTGGCATCGGTGGAAGTGTATTCGCCCAGAACAGACACCTGGACAACTTTGCCGACCTGCATGGGGGTCGGGCGCAGTTACGCGGGCGTAGCGATCATTGACAAACCGATGGCCCCCGCGACGACGATGTGAGGTCTACAGTCCGCTGGGCACGCGACGGAACAGAACACGGACCCGAGTGCCGAGACATCGGACTCCTCGCGGGAAGCCGGGCCCAGCGGCGTACAAGTACAGCATCGCGGTGCGAGTCACAACTGTCAGGGGCCGCGTTGCGTTTGTCAGATATACGAGAATGGCGAGCTGGCCGCGGTGATGATGAACCAGGGTCGGAACAATCAGGAGCATCGAGAGAACGTCGCCTACCAGAACGTGGCTCACGGCTCGCGTCGTTTTCAAAACCGCCCCTCCAATAACACGGTACAGATTCATCAGAATTTGAATCTATTTTATCAAAATACGATTGACTTTACACGCAACTGTAATCGGGCTCGACTGCAGCCGCAGCAGCAGCAGCAGCAACCGCAGCAGCCATTGCAGCAGCAGCCACAGCAGCAGCAGCAACAACCACAGCAGCCGCAACAGCAGCAGGAGCCGGAGGAGAACATTTACGAGCGTCTGGACAACGACGACGACGAAGATGACGACGCAAACGCGCACGATGCTCCGCGAAACGAGCCCTTGGCGCAAAATAACCCGGGCAACGCGGATCACATGTACGAGAGGATCGACGAGCGGATATCGTGCAGCGGTAGAGCGCATTGCCGTGGTTACAAATATCACGGATTGAATCACGTATCCGCTCATAGTTTCTTGAACGACATGGAGGGTGCCAGGAACGCGAGCCAATACGATCAACTGAGGCATATTTATTTGGATTATTCTCGACTGAGTAGTAACCTCTGCCAAAGCTCTCTCAGCAGATTAGGCCGCAATTGCTTTTCGACGGAGAACATCGCGTATGCTTCCACGAGACGCTCCGTTCATCCGTTCGTGTACAACAATTGCACATGCTCATATTGCAGGCAGGTAGACGCGAGATACCTCTGCCACCATTGTCACAATTTGCACAACAGATTGAGATACCAAGACGCCGCGACTATTTCCAGACATTATGTGTACCAACTCGCGAGAAACTGCAGATGCCCCTTCTGTCGCGGCGAATATCCCTACACGAAGCTTCCTACAAATGCCCCTCGCGCCGCCGAGCTCTTTAGAATGGAATGCTGTCACTGTAGGAATCCCGCCAATTGCAACTGTCGCAGTAAGATCCTATCCGACGCGAACTCCGCGATTTATATCGGCAGATATCTAGATTGGATCAGTCGGACCGGTCAATCTGTCAACAATCCCCTGTACGCCACGATTCACGTCGGTAGAATAGACCGTGTTTCTTCCATGTCCGGAAACACGTCAAACAGCGGAAATCTACCGAGTGCGGCCGATCCCGGGCCTTCATCGTCTAATAACGCGACTTCTCGATTCAACGACTCCAATTCGTCGTCGATTTTGCGGTCGGTGTTTGCTCCGGGCTCTTCCACGTCGAATAACGCTTCTATCTGTACCGTGAATCGATACGTGGAGCGCCAACACACTTGCGACGACTCGTGCATTCGTAGCCAGAGCGGCAGTTTGGCCGGGATATGCCAACTTCTCGGTAGATGCGAGAGAACGGAATGCAATCATGGGAGACTGTCCGTGCATTGGTGGTTCGTGAACAAGTGGCTTCCCTTGTGGAATTCGCATCATCTCGACAGAAATGCGGACGGACCGTGCGTAGACGAAACATCGCGAGAACAGCGAGAAAGCGACAGCGACGAATCTTAAGTCGAGGAAGTTGATTTATCGTCCGAGTACCTGCTGCGTATCACAAGCGTATTTTCTTACGTTCGCTCCCGCCGTTCACGATGCGATTACGGTTTATATCAGGGTCGGGCTTTTACGCGCAAATGATACGCTACGTGTAGACAATGTAAACTATGTCATCTATGCAGACAATGATCAATCTATACATATCGTTTAAAAAATGTTTTGCTTAAAACTTAATTATAAGTTCAGATTTTATAAACGTTAATATTTTTATTTAATCTATAAAATTTTAATGTAAATTTACGTTATTTTCTAAACAAGTTAGTTAAATTATAAAATTTTTTAATTACATTTTTATTTATATATATATAGAAAGTTTAAAAGTACAAAATCTACACAAAAAGTTAAATGTGCCAATTTGTCACATAGTCAAATGAAAATTTCATGTAATTTGTTATCTTTTCTTAAACATCACATTAATTAATACAGATATTAATTAATACAGATACACATTAATTAATACAGATACAGACTCAAAACAGATATAGTAATTGTTCCATGATTTACTTTTTTTATATATTTTAATATAATTTGCAATATTTTATATAATTTATATTGTTTACATAAAAGATTATTATATACTACACATCACGTAGAAAATACGTAAAAAATTCGCGTAGACATAATTTTGAAATCTACGGCACAGCCCTGGTTTATATCGACACAACGTGAACATCACTTTCTTGGAGATATTTTAATGATGTAATAATAACACTTTGCGTATACGCCGTGACAATAAATTTAGATATCGCGTTTTCAGAATATTCGGGAGTTTTGTAATCATAAGTATTCTCATTTTTTTCGAAGCAGTTTACGATTACCTAGGTGACTACTTTTAGGTTTATTTTAATTTGTAAGGGCGTATCTCCCTCAGATTATATAGATCTGTGCGCTCTATAACGTTGCTCTGATAAATATTCGAATCCATACAGTTACAATATATAACGTAACGTGTGCGTTTGTGAGTCATTTACTTTAGAAGTGTCGCGTTAGATAATCATATCGTAGGGACGCTTTTCTAGAAAGTTGGTTAATAATGATTAGTACGGAGTATTGTTAGCAAATGTTTCGAAATGGTATAGTGTTCTTTTAACTATGACCCATTGGTAGTTAACGTTTAAGTTAACATTTTTCAGCTGTGATATGTATTAGATCGGGTACTCTACCGATCTAATTTACGGGCTAATCCTGCATAGGTGCCGCGTCGCAATGCTAAAATCGTTTGCGTCGTGTATTCTTTCTAAGTTCTCGAAAGCGGAACGGGCGAAAGAGAGTGAAATTTTGCATCTGTGACGAAAAAAAGGGTGAAAAAAAAGAGAGAAATATCTGGCAGAGTGTACAAAGACACGCGAACAAATCTTATCTATATCTCATAGACTTTGCGTATCGAGCGAGACGATCGCTCATTTCGTGTGTCTTATCGTTATTGTAATACATGTAATATTCTATCTTGCGAGATTTTTGGTGTACTCTCGTCGGTGTAGTCAGTATTAAGTTATCTCTACACACTACTTAAAATTCTCTCTTTCTTTCTTAAATCGTGAGTGTCGCGTTATCGTCAATACTTGGCGGCATTGTCCATCGCTCATTTGCAAATAGGAATAACTAACGCCTGTCCAATGCGTTGTCAGTCATTTGCGAGTCGATCCGATTTCTTAATGACTTTAAGCAACACTGGTCTAATGACGTCGACATTCAGGTGTTAAATTATACATATATAATCACATATATACATATATATATTTATGTATAAATATATGTATATGTGTGTTGCGCGTGCGTGATTGTACAGCACTTTTCAACAAGATATCCTCTGTGAGGACAAGTACAGCGGACGATTGTATACATGCTCTACTACAGTTCTGAGTTTCACAGAAGGTTAAATAATGTTTGATACATATACATGCAATATGATATCTTTTCGACTTGGACTTGTTCGTATTGTATATTTAGCGTGTAATCGTGTTCAGCATAAAGGAAGGTCTACCATTTATGGCATATGTTACTGTGCAAACGAATGCATAATATAATGCATAAGAAATGCATAATAAAATATAATATAATGCAATATATAAATACTAATTATAAATTGTTTTCTTGTAACACAACTGATCGATACAAATAGATCAGTTGCTTTTCTTTGTATTAAAAAATACTGCAAAAACTATTTCTTCTTTATGCAAATCATTACAAACCCATACCCTGTGATCAAGGTATATTCTGTTCCAAGAGCGAACACGAGATACTGTCAGTTTAATTTAACTAAATCATAATTTAATTAAATCATGATTGCATGTATCAGATCTGAGTAAATTTTCGCAAAAGTATAAGTAATCATACCTGTGTTCGCTGCTATGAATTGACGAGACGTTTCTCCTGCGTTTGACGAGACGTTTCTGCTGCGGTAGTGCTCTCGAAATTTCTCAATAACTTCTTCACTCGTTTCGCGTAATTGACGGAGTTCTTGTGATCAATGTCGTAGACCTAGAAAACAAAGAGCGCAATTATATTATAGAAAGAGGTATTATAGGAAGGCTGCAAAATTTTGGATTTAGAGAACAAATACCTTCTTGATAAAATCGGCTTTGAGTCTTTTATCTTGGAACATTATTTTCTCGCCGATGACCAAGTTATTGAAGACCTTTGCACGCAGTGGCCGGAATTTCTTTAGAAACTTCTGTGTGTTTCCCGCGCATTTTTCATCCAGCTTTTGTATTTTGAAGTGTATTTTTCTTTCGTTCTTGCCCAACAGATCCACTCTTTTGTTCAACTTTCTTATATCCTTATATGCGTGATAGTAATCTTTTCGTATGTTTACTTGTAATTTTTTAGTAATCTAAAACCATCACGACAAACGAGCTTGATAACGTGTATTTTATATTAATTTATGACGTCAAAAAATGAGGAAATGTATATTCAAATTTCCTACAAAAAGTATGTTGAAATAAAAAGCTATATCCAAGAAATAAAATTTGCAATCGATTAAGTACACCTCAAAAATATCTAAACTTTTTGCTCTAACAATCAATAAATAATCGTAAAATTAACGTGACAAAATAATAAGGAAACACAGATTAAAAAGGAAGTCATGTTACGTTAATTTTACAATTATTTATTGATTATTAAAGCTAAAGGAAAGTGTTTAGAGTATTTTAGAGGTGTGCTTAATCAATTGCAAGGTGTTATCTTTTGAATATATCTTTTTATTTACATGTATTTTGCAAGAATTGTGACGTTGCGTTTCTTTGCTTCCGGCGTCATCAATTAAGAATCCCGCGGCTAGTAGCAGCCATAACGAGAAATGAAATCAATTACCTTTTCTATTTCAGTCTTGACTACTGTTTTACATTCGCCTGACGCGTGTAGATATTTCTGCAGCGTTTCTTCGACTCGTGCTTGATTAATTGTAACCCACGTGTCGATTTTAGCATCTATTTTGTCGTCGTCGTACTCCATCAAAAATGTATCTTCATTCGTAACGTTATCTTGTACTCTTGCCAATACTTCGGAGCTCCAGTGTAAAACACGGTCTTTCTCATTTATGAGATCTTTCCACGTTTCAGGCGTTCTACTTGTAGTTTGCCCCATTTCGTCAAACTGCAATTAGAACATAAAATTTGTAACAAAGCTAACATAAATAAAATCCACAAAAGATATTTCATACTAAATATATTAAAGATATTTCATATAAAGATATTTCATATATTAAAGATATTACATATTAAATATTTCTTTTATCTAACTTTATGGGTTATTTAGTAAACATTAATTAACAATAAAATTGCATTAATGTGGTAATTTCCTATTCAATAATGTAAGTGCAATATAATATATATTTATATGTAACAGTTACATTGTTGAGTAGAAAATTATAAGGACTAATATAACATTACATAATTAGTAACATTACATTAATGTTACAATTTTCTGTTCAACAATATAAGTGCAATATAACATATGTTGTGTATAAAATTTACATCATTAAGAAGAAAATTGTAATACTGATAATGTTACTGATATGTTAATTATAATAATGTTATTGTTGGTTCTCAGTAAGTACCAACTAATAGTAACATTACATTAATTGTAGTAACATTACATTACATTGTAATTTCTCACTTAACAGTATAAGTGCAATATGTACTTGTTGCATATAACAATTACATTGTTGAGTGGAAAATTATAACGTTGATGTAATGTTACTATTAGTTGTCGATACATGCCACCTAATAGTAACATTATATCAATGCAATAATTATTTATTCAATATGATTGTTGTATATAATATTGTATTGCACTTACATTATTGAGCGACCAATTTTAACACTGATGCAATATTGCTGTTAGCTGGTGTTTACTATGTATCTACTATGTATTCCACGGTTCTTTTTTGAGATCATCCAATATATTTTCTGCAGTTTTATTTCAAGATGAGCTGAGACCTTGGTTACATTGTCTTAACCTTTCTTGAAACTTTGAAGATTTATTTTATGTAAATTTTAATATATTCATACAATCTTCTGGAAAGTTTTGCAGCTGAAATAATATATCTGACTTGTATAACGCAAACTTTATGAGTGTTATATTGTTAAGCTGGAAATTTTAAGTGCCAATTGTGTCTGTGATTGTGTATGTGTATGGCTTAGTACAAAAAAAACTATGACCTTTTTCTCATTGTAAGTATCGTGCTTTTGCTCGTTTACGTTGAAAAACCGTAAATAAATCCACTTGTTTATCATGACAGTATTTAGACAAAGTCGACGGTTATTCGACAAGATTAAATATCACGGCAACATGAAATGGGAACGATTCCACTTCTACAATGATACACCCGGGGCCTAGTTCGCCTATCACCGCGCAAAATTCGTTAAACGTTCATTTAGGCCATCGAAATTCGAGCTGTAATGCGGATTTAGCGAATTATTTATAAATAAGTAAATAATACACAGCCATTAACGGAGCCTACACGTTCATTGTTTATTCACAAACAATTTCGCTAAATCCGTAATACGATTCGTGTCCATTATATAGGTTATAATTAAATAATCACACAAACGCATCGCAGAAGTAATACATTATGTAAGCGTGATATCTCGATGCTTCTGTTTCGTCGAACGGCAACGGATGCTGTTCCATTTTCCCTCGCCATGTCGCCGTGTTTCCGACAAGACGCAATAGACTATATACGCAACAGGCACCGGTTATGCGGTGCCGAAAGACGCCGCGTTTAAATCGGACTCGCTCGGGCCGTTTGACACGCTGAAGCGCTTGTCCGTCACTCGACTCGGTGCACCTGACACCCATTCGTGTTAGGAATTCGCTCTGGACTTGTGAAAAGACGCGACGAGTACACGGAACGATCGCAATCCAATTTCGAACCGACACGAAACGACACTACCGTTTCAACCTGCGTGATCACGTGACGTACACGATCTCACCACGCTAGTTCATTTAAAAACCGTTTGAGCAGCTTCGACGTAACGATTGCCATTACATCCGCTGTTATTAATTATTTGCTGTAATTCTTGGGACATTGAGACTGTATCCGGTGTCTCCCGTGCTCTGAATATCGGAATTTCTCTGAAATTATCTATCATGCGCGGCCGAAAGTTGACCAGCGTATTGATACACCGGCAACAGCATCAGCTGCCATCTTACGATTATTTCCGAAGTGGATCGCAGCGCGGAAGTTCGATTCGGGAGCAAGTCCGTGCGTGTCGCGGTTTCGACTCGTCCAAAGGGAGTCTCTCGCGCGGATTGTCGTCGCCAGCGGTGCCAAGAGTGAGTGTCACGCGTTTGTCGTGCCGAAACGTCGGTAAACAGTCACCGAGTGCGAGCATTTCACGGAGACGATCGTCGGAGTGCCAAGCTGGGTATCGGCTGTTCATGGTGGCGGTTGGAAGCTCAAGTGGTCGCTGGCCTACGCGGGTTTCATCTGTCGAGGGTGAGTTTCACGCAAATTATCGTCGGGAGTAAGGGGAAAGTTAATTTCGCGGCAAAACATCGTCGAAATGTCGTTGCATTCGGCGAGGCAAGCCATAACGTTCTTTAGATCGGACGTTACGCGATTTTGAACCTTAAGCGCATCACTCATAAGGTCGAAAATGGCAAGTTATACGATTATATTCATTGCGCCGAGTTGGATGCTTGTTCTCGATGCGGCTTGGAGTGCAGTCGAAGATCTATCACGAAAACTGAAGTTCTGGGCATTAGTGAGAAACAATTCTCTCGTTAAACTACTGACTGCATTCCAAACTGCATCGGAGAGAAGTGTCTCAGCTGCTTCGAAGCCAAGTGTATGTACAGGGCGCTGGCGGTACCGAGTAAAGTGCGGTACTCGTTCGACACTTCGAGAATCGCAATCGTCGCGATGTAGTGCAAACGGTTGCGGAGCAAGACGTGGCGTCGCGATCGGATTCGAAGAGAGAATCGTGCGATCTCGACTCACCGGGAACGTGAGTTTCGCGCGGTCGTCGCGACGGAATGCCGTCGAATAGTCGTCGACGGCAAATATGTGGGGGAACGCTCGTCGGGAACAAAGTGTCGCGCGTATATCGCGCTGTAGCGGCTCCAAGTTCAAACGGTTGTTTTTCGCGAGATACGGTCGGGAGTGCCGTGAGTAAATTTCGCACAGCGGACGATCGCTAAAGATAAACACCTCGCGAAACGGGTCGTCGGAAGTATCGAAGTAGTTGCCGTTGCGTGCACGGCGATTCGGAGTCTAGCTTCCTGCCTTCTACGCTTTTGACCCGTCGGTAAGCGAGAACGACGCGGCTGACAGAGCACAGAAATGCGCCTGCGACCTTTTCTGCCGAGTCGAGTACACAGGATTTCAATGATAGCTTTCATTTCCGGCTAGCGTATCTTGCCTCGGGCGCATTGTATCTAGGTATTTTTGTATTATGACTGTTACTTTTGAGAAGAATCAGCAATTCAGCCACGTTAAACGCAAAGACAATATACACGGTGAATAGATACATATATGCACTATTACTGTTGCATTTAATTAAGGTGACCAGATTTTTTCAACTTCAAATCTGAAACGTAAATGTATGAGGAAGGTAAGATTATTGAATATTACTTATAAAAAAAAAATACACACACACACACACACACATATATATATATATATATATATATATATATATACACACATACACATACATGAAACAATATTTTATTTATAGATACTTAAAAAATAACAACAATGAAAATCTGCTTAATACAGTAAAAATAGAAACTATTACTAAGACAAAATTTTTGTTATCTTTGTTTAAAATTAAGGAGAAAACCGAGATTGTCCCGGAAGAAACGAGACGTCTGGTCACCTTAATTGAATTGAATTGCTAATTTTTTTCAAAACCAATAGTCATGATACGATGATGAAAGTACATAGATATGACGCGTCTGAAATATATTCTTTCAGTCGGAAATAGAAGGCGTTATTGGAGTCCTGCGTATATGTAACACATATATTGCTGTGTATATTCATAATTGTGCGACGCACACGTCGTACAGTGGCGCCGCTGCGCGGTGGCGTTGCGACGTTAACGCCCCGCGCTATTGATAAATTCTTCCGGCGTGGTAAATACGCGGTACGCGGCCGCTGGAAAAGCGGTGAAATTACGTGGAAAACGAGCCGGTCGCGTCTTTCACAGTCGCCTGAATGCGTGTCGAGTTCGCGCTCGCGAGGGATGAGGCGCGCGCTGGAAAACGTAGAAACGCGAGAGCGAGACGTCGCTCGCTAACTCGCATTGAACGCACCGTTTCGTCCCTACCTTCCTCCCCCACTCGCCCTTCTCTCTCTCTCTCTCTCTTTCTCTCTGTCTCTATCTATCGCGGTCGCACTCGTGGAAAAAGGAACTGGGACGGACGTCCGCCTGTCGGGAAAGCCCGCGGGATTGAATCGGCACACGAGGCTCGCCGTCGGTCGGGGTGTCAATTCAAAGCGACGTAATCTCCGCTCAGCGCGGCCAATAATCGGCTTATTGATTTTGATTTGCCGCCCGCGTAAAGGCATAACGGCGTATAACGCTCCGCGAACGCGCTCTAACTTCGCACGGACCGGACTCTCCCGTTGTGTGCTTACGAAAACACCGACTCCGCGAAATTATCCTTTTTCTCGCCGAGGAAGAACGCTGACTCTTCGCTAATTACACGCCGCTGAGCTGAGTTCAACTTATTTCTTTTTTTTTTTTTTTTCATCGCGGAAGCATCAGGAGCGGATAATTCTTACGGGCCACTGATTGGAAAATCTCATTGAGGATTTCGGGCTGGTTGGATCACTCGATCACAGATTGTTTCATAGCTTATAATCATTGAAATAGTAACACGTTCGAATATATTTAGAAAATTGGATAAGGATTACAGATGAGATTGATGAAAAGTACACTGAGAGAAAAAATGTTTGATTTAATCAAAATTATAGTTTTTTTTCATATTTTTACCATATTTTCTGGTCTAAAAATGGTATAAATGGTGCAAATAACATGCATATTATCATTAACATTATAATATAATTTTTTAAAGATATAGTTTTCCATATAATCATAATTATATATGTTTGGTTGTTCTAACACGAAAATGCTAATTAAGAGAATGGATTAATCTGCATTCCTATAGATTAATTATTATAAATTATGACTAAAAACAATTTTTTTAATTAAGTTCTACTACAATGTTAGCGATAACAATATTATATGTATGACACTACTACCATTTTCGTGTTGAAGCAATCAAAAAATATAATTGCAGTAAAAAATAATTATAATTTTCGTTAGATCAACTATCTGTTTCTTTTTTTTCTTCCTTTGCTATCATCATCATGTTTTTCTTTGAGTGAAAATTTGCATGAAATTTGCATACGAAAACAACCTCGTTATTCGACACGTTCAAAAGATAAGGATCGTGCATGCGTACCTGCCTCTTCACTTAGGAAAGCACAGCTTTTCTAAAATAAGTGAAAAAAAGTAAAAGTAATCAATACTTAGGCGCAAATGAAAGGGAGAAATAATTTTGTCATTGTTGTTGCATGATTGTTGCGAATAACGGTAACAAAACAGCGCGGGACAATGGACGACGTGCGAAGCGTGAATAAATGTGCACACACCGTTTCATATTTATTCGCGAATCGTGGAAAGCATAATTGAACGAAGCGATAGAACCGATCGCGAAATAGCGTTTCTCGAATCTCGAGAGCTGCGTGGCAATATCGCGCTCGAGTAAATTTACCTATTCCATTTCATCCCTCCACTGATAAGACTTAAAAATTGAAGTCTCGGGCAAAGAAAGAAAAAAAAACGAAATATCATTTTTTCATCGTTATTTTTATCGCGCGCATGCGGAGCTTAAGAAGTTTCAGCGTGAGCTTAATGGCCAACAAATGACATGTTTTCCTCTCGTTCGCACGCGTTTAAACGGCGAATTTTGTTAACAAGTTTCCGAACTGGACAGTTACAATGTTAGACGTTTGTTTTTGCAAAACAATAATAAAAAAGTAACACCAATATAGTGTTCGCGTAATATTTGCCAATTACAGACCCCGTGCGATATAACAACGGAGCACGTTTTTCGCCAAAAACACGCGTGAAATTACCTCTCTAATTCGCGAGACGCGGTAGATGCATCAGCGAGGAAGTTGATCTACGTCTCCCCGTAGTCGAGTTGATCTGTGAAACGTTCGGTGTCCTCGGGGACGCTGCCGAAGGGACAATAAACGAGCGTCGACTTTACGCCCAGATGTCGACCGCGCGAATTCGCGTTTCGCGGAATTTTATGTATATATACAAGGTGTCTCAGACTCTCCTCCGCATATTTTGTGGGAACGTAGAACGGATTGAGGTGAACATAAAAGTTCCATACCGTTTTGCAATATTCGCAATAAATCTCAAAATATTAATTAAAGAACATTGGTGAATAATCACGCGCGATACACTGAGGGAAAAATTACTTTAAAATCAATAAATATTTCTTTGATGGGTGCCATTAACATATTTATTCACAAATCTAAATTCTCTTTATTTAAACCAAATATTGTTTACTTAAATCAGGTAATTTAGATTTAAGTAAATATGTTAATGGTACCTATCAAAGAAATATTTGTTGATTTTAAGATAATTTTTCCCTCAGTGTATGGTAGATGGATTGCAGTGATAGTGTTTGCCGTTATATACTTATACATTAGCTCAAACTGAGCAAAATGTCCTCTACCATTTTGCAAATGACCACATAGATTTTTGAATATTAATTAAAGAAAATTTGTGCATTATAGTGCATAATTATGTGTAACAATTTTCTTTCATTAATATCTAAAAATCTATGTGGTCATTCGCAAAATCGTAGAGAACTTTTTTGTTCAGTTTGACTTAACGTACAAGTATACAACGGCAGACG